TTCACCGATTGGATTTCATTTTCGTGTGGATTTCTTGTTGGGTCTTGCCTTCTTTGCTCTCACTTTTGAGGTAACGTTACTTTTAATTTTGTATCTTTTTGATTTGAGATGATTATGTGTTGTTTTCTTAACTATGGTGTTATATGAGATGATTTTTTTACACAAAGTGGGTTTTTATGCCTAAAAAGGGGCTTCTGCCTCAAATTTGAAATATTATAAATAATTCCTCGTTGATTGTGGAGATTGGTATTGAGTATTTGTTTCCAAAAGCATAACGAGGGAGTGCCCCAAATCCTTTTAAACCATAATTTTTAAATTTGATTTAAGAATGAAGTTTTGTTAAATTGGTTTTAAAATCTTGTAATTTGGTGGATAATTGATACTAATATGTTGAGATATGAAATTTTGGATTGTTTTGGAAATATGTATTGAATTGGAGACATGTTGGAGTTTACAGAAATGGAAAATTTCTAAAATTCTCTTGTTTATAGTTGTTGTTCTCTCTCTTACTTATGAATTGAATAAACTCCAATTAAATTGGGAATTTCAAATTCATGCTTTATGTGCATTACAATTTTATCTCATGATTCTATGATCTCATGGAAGTTTAGAAATGATAAAAAGGGTGTAAATAGCATATGAGTCTGGGTAGTCGAGCCATGCTTTTGAAAACGTATTGTGTATTGTAGTAGTACCCATGCGGGAAGCCTAGGTGCCCAATTGCCCTATCTTGAGCTTATCGCCAGACGAATGTGAGAAAATATTTTTAGATGTCCACCGGTCCTTCCATATTAGTACTCAGTAAAAGTGAAAAACGGATGATTTTAAGTGCCCATCACGCTGTCGTATTAATAGTTGGCAAATGTGGGGATATTTTTTGATATGGACCTATGTATATGTATTATTAGGACTCCTACAAGGGATTTCATGGCGTATTTACCACCCCAATGTTAACGAAACGTTTAAGTTTTGAACAACGATGCATTTATTTAATTTTCATTCAAACACAATAGTAGCAACTATTTTATTATAACATGACCATATGAATTTCAAGTAATTAGATACTTTGTTAAATGTATCTCTACTGGGCATATAGCTCATCCATGTCTAACATTTCAAGACATAGTGACGTGCCTTCACCCCAATGAACAAGAGATGGATTTTGTGTATGGAGCATGAAAGCTCGCGGATATGGATTCTATGAAAGCTCCGAGCTTACTTGTTTTTGGGACGGAGAGTCCATTTTTGTGTACCAAGGCCCTTGCCTTGTTGTTTGTAAGCCATTAAGGCATTTTCTGTTCTTGAAACTCCCTAACTTCTTGAATTATGATATTGTAACTTAAATTACTATAAACTTAGAACTGTAAGCTTTTTACTATAGTTCAACGAGAAAGGGAGTATATCATATTAAAACCACCTTTTTACTTTAAAAAAGTTCTTTGGAAACCTTTGTTTATATGAAACTTGTTGAGATTCATAATTATTATTGTTTAGAAATTTCGAAAATGACAATCAATCTCGATGTGTTTGGTGCGATCATGAAAAATATCATCGTGAGCAATCAAAATGGCATTGTAATTGTCGTAATGACGAGTAGTAAGTACATCCATGTCCTCAACTAACCAACGAAGCCATAAAAGTTCCTAAGTGGTGTAGGTAAGAGCACGATATTCTACTTCAATATTGGACTTGGAGATAATAGTTTGCTTCATACTCCGCTAAGAAATCAATGATCTTCCAAGAAAAAAACGAAATAACTTGTAGTAAAACGACGATCAGTGTGATCATTGGCCCTGTCAGCATCAGAATATGTACATAACTCAAGGGAGTGTAAGCAAAGTAATAAAGTCCATGAAACAAAGTACCATTTATGTAACAACCCTGACCCATGATTAATTGTTAAGCCATGATTAAGTATGCCTAATAAGTAATTAAGATGAAATCTTGAGTTAAATTACAAGTGCATTGCATTATTTGTGTATATATCTGTCTGCTGTAGGAATATTTGTTTGTGCTTTTGTTTTGTTCTACAAATTGAAGGTCTTATGGCCATCCGATTATGAAATTGACTTGATTTATGTATTATTTGAAATTTTTAAGATTTTGTGGTAGGTTTAATTGAAATTCAATTCGGAATGAATTAATTAGAATTATTTAATGCCCAGTTGATTAGGTTCACGAAGCTTAATTCGTCAAGCCTACATGCGGCTTCTAACTTGTATATATACTCTCATTTTGTTATCTTTGAATAGCAAATGTGTGGGGGAGAGAGAGAGAGACCAAGAGTGAAAGTGAGTTCAATAAGGGAGAAGGGGAGACTTGCCAGAAATTGTTGGAGAATTGAAGAAGATTTAGGAGAATTAAGCTTTCACACTTGTGAACTCAAGCTTAAGGTAAGAATTAAACCCATGAACTATGTGTTTGACTCAAAAAGAGGATAAATTCAAGAGAATTGAAAGAGTAAATACAAAAAAATTAAGCTTAGATGATAGAATTGAGCATGATTCGCACATGCATGCATTTTCGTTACAGTTTAAGTTTGAAATTCAAGCATTTCTACATGCATGTGTCTATCTTGCCTTTATTTGGAGAATCCATCTTGTTTGATGCCATTTTATGTCAGTTAAGCATGTTTTGGAAGCTTTGAAGTGATGTTAATGCATGCATGTTAAGGTTTCAAAGTTTTAAGTTTTGTTTTGTGCAATGGACTTACTCTTGGGCCTTGATTTTGCGAAATGGTTTTGAATTCACGATATTCTCCAAGTTTACACAAGTTTCCTTGAGTTTTTGGCCAAGAGAACATGATTTACAGTTTTGAGTTGAGGTTTGAAGCCTGAGTGCATTCTGGAAATTCCAGAATTCTGCTCTCCACTGGAGCAATAGAACCTGCACTCGAGCAACCACTCTATGATCTTGCATTTCTGCTTGAGCGACCAAAAGTTGCTCAAGCGTAAAATGCGTGCTCCTAGAAGTTTACATGTTTTGCAGACCGCTCGAGCGACAAGAGTTGCGCTCGAGTGAGGACCTTAGTCTCATGCTCGAGTGAGAGTCGAGCAGAAAAATCAAGCAACAAGTACTTTTGCAGGGTTTATAGGCTGCTCAAGCGATAAAAGTTGTGCTCGACCGACCAATAACATTTTTTCATGTCCGCTCGAGCGAAGGAAGTTGCGCTCGAGCGAGACCCCTGTTTTCAGCAAGTTTTGGTAAAATATTTTCAAGTGCATTTTAGCATCCTCATTGCATCTTAGGCATTCCTAGGCCAAGAGTAAGACATAGTAATGATGATAAAGAGTAGGAACACACCAAGATAAGAAAGAACTAAGTTAATGATTCCAGGTGTGTAATTCAGTACATATTCATTTTGTATCTGTGTAGGTCACGTGCTACAAGATATCCGATTTCCCTACTCTGTCTATTTGCTTTGGAGCCAACTATGATTAATAACTTAGTAAAACTATATTCTTTATTTTTTATATGATGCAATAAGATCTATTTTATGGAACAATTATGTTTTGTACAATGAATGATAGTCGATATATTGAAAAGTATTCGTGGCAACAATTCTATGGCTCAAGTATATTATCTGTACCCGGTACTGGAGGTTCCTTTATGGAACTGGCAAGTATGTTATCTGTTCCCCGTACTGGAGGTTCATTTATGGAACTAACAAGTATGTTATCTGTTCCCAGTATTGGAGGTTCCTTTATGGAATTGACAAGTATGTTATTTGTTCCCAGTACCGGAGGTTCCTTTATGGAATTGACAAGTATGACCCTTAATGCTCTGTAGTTGATCTGTTAGCCCCATGATTTTTGTTATGATTCGATCACGAACGTGAATTTGAATCTGTTTCTGTGTACTAAACTTGTTATGGGACGTTATTCATTTAAACCTTTTACTCTATTATTATTCACTAGGGTTCTGCTAACTCTATAATTGATGTATGTAGGTGATCAGGCACATGACCAAGCTCATAATTGATGACCTGGACTTCTGTTTTGTTGGTCAACCTTTGCGCCTCCCGAGGAGGTTCCAGAATGAGTCAAGTGGTCGAGTTTTCTGAACCAAGTTTTCAGACATTGTTTTCTTTCTGCAACACGTGCAAGTTTTCTGTTTTGTTATATATTGGGCTAAATCCCCTATTTGGCTATATTTGCAATGAATATGACATAAGACTACTATATTTATGACATCACGTTATGTACATAAGTTTTGAAATTTTTGTCCCATGTACGTCAGCACAGCTCAATGGACAATGTTTATTCTATATATTTGCTTCTGTAGCCCCTTATTTTGTGATAATCTATTTAGAGGCTTTTGGTAATCCAAGGATTACTTGCCGATTATGACGCTAAACCTATAGGAGCGAGTTTGGGTTGTGACACTTTACATATCATAGAATACGAAGAACGACAACATAATGAGGAAATTATGGAGCAGACAAAAATTGACTGACAATGTGAACTGCATGAGAGATATCGGGTCGAGTAATAGTTAGATAGACTAGACTACCCACTAATTGTCGATATAGAGTTGCATCAGAAAGGAGAGTGCCCTTTAAAGGGGTAAGGCGAGTATTGTACTCAAGCGGTGTAGAAGCAATCTTGCTATTCATGAGACCAACATGAGATAAGAGAACAGATACATATTTGGCTTGACTAAGATACAAGCCACTTGGAGCAGAAGAAATCTCAAGACCTAGAAAGTAACTAAGAGAACCCAAATCTTTCATCTCAAAATGAGAAAGTTGAGAAAATGTTTCAGCTCATGAATGCCATCAAAATGATCACCAGTAATAATCATATCATTAACATAAAGCAATAAAAGAGTAATACCATGTGCCATTTTTTGAAGAAAAAGAGTAGAATCATAGGAGCTGGAAGTGAACCCAAATTGAGCAATGGTAGCACTAAACTTGGAAAACCAAGCACAAGGAGCTTGCTTGAGGCCATAGAGAGCACGACAAAGGCAACAAACACTATTTGGAGAATGCTCATAACCTAGAGAAGGCTGAAAAGTATTCTTGACATCCATCTGAGATAAACCCCACTGGACGAGGTAGCAACAACAAGTGAACCGCGAACAGATATAAGATGGGCAATAGGAACAAATGTCTCCTCATAATCAACATCATATTCCTCAGTGAAGCTTTCTGCAACAAAACAGGCTTTGTAACATTCAATTGTACCATCCGAATGAGTTTTGATTTTATGGACCCATTTACAACCAATAGGAGTTTTTCTAGGAAGAAGAGCAACCATATCCCATGTATGTGTCTTGTGTAAAGCCTGTAACTCATCTTCTATTACTTGCTGCTAAAGAGGATTAGTGCAAGCTTCATGATAGATATGAGGTTCATGTTGACTAAGAATGATAGAAAAATAGTGATAATCTTGTAAATAACCTGGCTATTTAGATATCCATTTCAGAAGAGGGACAATAGAAGGAGCATAAGGAGAGTCACTACTAGAGGAAGGAGAAAACTTTGAAGAACAGGCAATATCAGTACTCTCAGGGGATGGGACTGTTTTGAGACCCGTTTCGAAAGAGGGACAACAAAAGGAGCTTCAAGAGAGTCACTGCTAGAAAAAGGAGGAGACTCTGAAGAATGAGTAATATCAGTACTCTCAGAAGATGGTAATAGAATAGAATCAATAGGCAGAACAAGAGCGTCAGGAATAGCTAAAGAACCATTGGATGGAAAGGCATTTGTAGGAGCATCATTAGAGAAAAGATCAATGGAACGATTAGTGCAATATGAGATGGTGGAAGTGGAAGGAAGAGAGAGTTTAGAGATGGAGGAGAACATTTTGTGTTCCCAACTAATGTGTCACACCTCAACTTTTATTACTTGGATCTATTACCAAATCCTTTGTTACATTTTCAATTTTAATAATTGCATACATTCAAAAACAAAAGTAAAGCATAACCTATAAACATTCTCTCTCGATAATGATGATGCTGCATTTTTACAATGTGATACAATTCCCTAAGGCTTACATTAATGAGAAACTTAATGAAAGGGATTAACCCTATATACACAACGTGGCATTTTGCCAAATCAAGAACAGGCCCCGAGGCCTACAAGTAAAGAAGAATTCAAGTCCCGAACAATTCTTCCAGCCTTGTACTTGAAAATTTGTCAACACGTGAGATGAACATATAGTCCAATAGAGATCCCAAAGATCCTAAACAATAGCAACATATAGCTAGTTATGATCATTCATGCTCCACATCAAAGTATATATGTGAGATTTTCTATGCAAAAATACTTACATAAGTACCTTCTCTTTTAAAAGTCCCATTTTGTTCCTTTAAGAACACTTACTTCTTGTCTTAATAATTGCCATTTCAAATTAAAAGATTTAGAAAAAAAACCCCTAACCACTTCTCTTAACACAAATTCAACAATATCCTCGATACAAATGCACTGATACTAAATTTTCATAAAACATGCACACAACCTATGGTCTTGCCACGTTCAAAATGGTTTGCTTAACGTAGGTTTTTGTTTGATTAAACCATCTTCCCATATCAATACTATGACATGGTGAATCCTCTTAAGTCTATGTATCTATTAGTGGTTATCGCTGAGCACCACCTAAACCAATGGTCATCGCTGAGCACTATCTAATCCTGTGACCATCGCTGAGTGTCACCAAATCCGTGACCATTGTTGAGCATCACCGAATCCCGTGGTCAATATGAGTACCATGTATCGCAGTATAAAATATGAGTTACACTCTACAAATTAGTGGACTATAAGAAGTTACACTCTACCAATGGCCATCGCTAAGCGCCACCTAACCCATTACAATCTCATCTCAACCATACATGATCCGAATTCACCCTAACCATTCAATTAAAACCAAGTTGTTTTCTATTATAACCAATGCACTAAGGCATTAACCAATTCTTGCAGAATGTGCTCCTTACACCACCGTTCAACAATGGGTTTTCATTCTCATCAAAACATCTCAAAGTAATACAATACGAGTTATTAACAACTACCAACACCATATCTTTTTAATGGTTATAACTTACTCAACAACAATATAATATCACTAATTATATTCACAATTTTCCCTATTCCTTCATCTTTCACCAATCTTGTTTTAACAACATAATACTTGTGGGATCACCTTTTTGGGGTTACCAAGCGCGCCTAACAGTTCAGATCAAAGATTGGCCTCACTCGATCAAATATCAGCATCTACTAAGTCATAGTGTGATTTTTAAAATCAATATAAATCCAAATTCTGATTATTAATAATGTTATCATTACTATCTGAGGCATTCAAATATAGATTGTGTTGTAATTTTGGTTATGCTATGATTTCATGCACTTTTGAAAATGGGTTTTCTTGGGTAAAATTTGTAGCTTAAGAATCATCTACACTCCAAAACGAATAACACAACCTTCATTTACTTGCATTCAAACAGATATTTCACTTAAGAACTTAGCCTCATGTTATAGCAACATATATAGTAAGGAGCACACACATGCGATATGCTAAAGCTCAAAATGCTTACCTAGTACTCTAGGGCAAGTCATGATATATGCAGATAGGTACAGATGTGCATGATCCTATATACAAGTTCCTAATGCAATACATACAAACCATGTCTCTAGGAGTCTGGATTGTTGAGATGCAGTAGGAGTATCACTACAATATATAAATTTGTGTGTGTATTCATCTTTGAAGATAACACATCATATTAAAGTGGGTGGTCTGGACTCAAATGCATGGAAGAGTGGATGCAATATAAAGGCATGATAAAGAAAACATGATGTAATACCGAAAGTAGATAAATGAAAGGGTTAGAAAGACGTAGGGTTGGAAGATTATTACAACAATCCAAATAGGAAAAATAGGGGAAAGAGAAATTATTACAATAATGAATTGATTCAACCTAGCTACTGCAGAACCTAACAAATCACACTAAATAATGAAAAGAAGCAACCCAATTGCTCTAGTACTGCTCAGGGGAGTATTCCCAAAAACTGTCTGTTTTGTTCTTGGAGAAAATGACTAGTCAGACACTAGATAAGCCGGCCGATGTAGAAATGAGCTAGCCGAATTCCCTTTCCGACTGGGGATTAGGTCAGTGCAGAATCTCAAGATAGTGACCAAGAGGGGGCCATTCTGGGTGATTCTTACATCTTTCATCCCTTCTCTTGACAAGGATCATTCGGAGAGGAGATTGATGGGCCATAGCCTTCAACAACAACATAAACACATTTATATAGCAGATATTTTGCGCGCACACACACACACAAAACAAAAACAAAACAATTAAATGAATTAAAATCAAAACAAATTCAAATGTAAGAAATTGATAGGAACCTACATCTTCTCTTTGTGAATGTGAGGAAGTTAATACCCAAATTCTTGCTATTAAGTAGAGAGCGTACATTAAATGCAAATCATTTCTTGGCGAAAGCTTGGCTTAACAAAGCAAGATATTCATCAAATTCATTGAAAAGCTCTCCTCTAGTCATAGAACAAGGATAATAACACCCCTTTCTATGTTCACAAATGATTAAGAAGGGAGGTTTCACCTTCATTTGACCTAGAATCTCTTGTTTTACTTCCAAAATGCTCAATGAAAAGGAAGAGAACAACACTTGTCATCACCAAATCCCATGGATCACTCAAGCAGCCCCATGAAATAACCCCTAACACTCATTTTCATTGAGCCAAGGGTCGAAACACATTGATTGACATACTTGAGAGATAGGATAGATGAAGATGAGTGGTGTACTAGAGAGGAGAGTTATTCTACTTATTAAACTTGTGGATGGATAGCTAAAATTACTCCCAAATACATCCACAAGGATCCAAAATATACAGGAGCTACATGGCTGAAGCTATGAAAACCAAAAAAATAAAAGAAATAGCTATCAACTCAACGGATGAGTGGCTAAAGTTATTCCCTCCACATCTATGAGGACTTACAACAATCGCATAATGAAAATAAAGTTAGAACAATAGAAATGGAGATAGAAAAGTGATTTAGATTGTGAGAAAATCACCTCTTGAGAGGATAGCCCACTTTGATTCACAAACTCCCTCTTTCACTCCATTGGATAGATTGTTTAATGTCCAAAAGTCTTAGTACGGTGCTTAGGATCAAGCTTTCATGGAGTTCTAATGTCCAAAGTTGATAAGATGGTAGGTAGGAGGTGTGGTTGACAGGATAGAGAGGCAAGAGGCTTTTAGAGCTTTAGGAAAAAGTTTCTAACTTCCTGAAAAGAGCTATCAAGCTCTTATAGATAGGACCCAAGTCACAAATATCTAAGATATTTGTGGTAGGTAAGCCTAATAAGCTGAAATTCTTGAAAATGCTCTATACCCAGAACATTCAACTGGCCGAGCTTCTTGGTGATCGGCCAAATGCTTTTGTGGCTAGCTAACCAGTGGGCACATCTTCAGATCAACAAGAGTAGGTTAGCCTGAATTGAAGGGAGAAATAAGTATTTCAAACGATTTTACGCTTTCCATTGACTTCCACTATATTCTTTGCTCGGTTTGTTTGAAAGAATACCATGTTTAGGATTTCAAAAATATAAGCCTTAGAACATTGCAGTAACGTCTGGAGTTGTACCTACTAAAACTCGTTTTGAAAGAGATTCCATTTTGGTAGAAAAATATTTTGTCCAAAATAGGTGAATGGAGGATTTAAAGCTTGATCCTTAGAATTTCTGCTACAGAACTCGCAAAGATTAACACCTCTTATTTTCATCATTGGGAGCTCAAAAGGGAGCACCCAAGTCTCAAGGCTAGTAAAAAATAGGATGTCTACAATGCCCAATAACAAATAGATGAGAATAACTATCAACAACCAACAACACATTATCCTAGATTACATGGTCGAACACATAATAGTTACACATAGCATCTATCAAGCAAGAATCAATTCCATCCCTTACCGATGGCCAAGGACAAAATTCTAAAGATGCTGATCACTTAAGAACATGCACAAAGGTAACAACGAGTACCCCCTATATACAAACCCATTTCCAACTCAAATTTTATAAAAGAGTTTACAAACATCAACTTGTTTTGAAAACCAATTGCTATTACTCTAAATCCCCAATACACATAATATAACGGTTCCAGTTTAGACCTGACCCATTTCATGTTCTTAGATCCAGAATCTCAAATCTTTAATTGTTGTTTATAACCTTTTTACTTTGCTGTTAGATAAGTTTGGTAGTTTGGGAGTTACTTTTTTAGAAGATTTGTCATCCAGTTTTCTTCTTGTTCAATCGAGCGGTGCTTTGGTCATTCAAGCAGTCTTTGAGATCTCCTAGTATTTTTCAAAGTCTACAAAACTTTTGGGAGTGTGGCTTGCCTTTCGTGCTTCTTTCGGATGTGACTAGCCCTATAGTTTGGACTCTAGTGGTTCTGAATCTGATTTCATAAGTGTAATGCGAAATAGATAAACCCAAATGAGTCCAAATCTGACAAATCTTTTGGAAAATCAATTTTGAATAAAAATGCCAAAAAATGAACTATTTTTCCAGATACAGAGTCACCACTTAAATATTTTATTTTTGAAAAATTTAGGAAACCTGAGACTTGTGCCAAAGGCCATTTTTCCATTATCACCAAAGTGTCTCGGCTCGGGAACTTAGATATGAGAGGAGAAGGTCATGAATTTAGCACCACACTCACCCGATCAAAGATCAGCCTCTACTAATCATGATGTGATTCTTATTTACATTATATGCTCTTGTTCTGATTATTAGGCTAACTTACTATGTGATGCGCACACAAGTATAGACTAATTTGCAAAAATTAG